CACGGGCTGTGCCGGACTGGACACACGCACCACTGGCTTGGCGCGGGGAGCAGGAACGGGCCGGACCGGGCTGACGACGCGCACCACTGGCTTGGTGCGGGGAGCAGAAACGGGCCGGACCGGGCTGACGACGCGCACCACAGGCTTGGTGCGGGGAGCAGGAACAGGCCGGACCGGGCTGGCGACGCGCACCACTGGCTTGGTGCGGGGAGCAGGAACAGGCCGGACCGGGCTGGCGACGCGCACCACTGGCTTGGTGCGGGGAGCAGGAACAGGCCGGACCGGGCTGGCGACGCGCACCACTGGCTTGGTGCGAGGGACAGGAACAGGCCGGACCGGGCTGGCGACGCGCACCACTGGCTTGGTGCGAGGGACAGGAACAGGCCGGACCGGGCTGGCAACGCGCACCACTCTCTTGGTGCGAGGGCCAGGAACAGGCCGGACCGGGCTGGCGACGCGCACCACTGGCTTGGTGCGAGGGACAGGAACAGGCCGGACCGGGCTGGCGACGCGCACCACTGGCTTGGTGCGGGGAGCAGGAACAGGCCGGGCTGGACTGGGAACACGCACCATTGGCTTGGTGCTGGGAGCCGGAACGGGCCGGGCCGGACTGTGGAGGCGGACTGGAGGTCTGGAGCGGAGAGCTGACACAACCCGTCCTGGCTGAATGCCTATTTCCACACAATATGTGTGAGGCATCAGCACAGGACGTACAGGGCTGTGCACTCGTACTGGCGCTACAGCACGTGGCACTGGCGCAGGATATACGGGACCGAGGAGGGGTACTGGAGGCCACGAGCATTGAGCCGGCACACCCCGTCCTGGCTGCATGCCCACCTTAGCACGACACGTGTGTGGTTCTAGCACAGGACGTACAGGACTCTGCTGGAACACTCGCGGCACAGTACGTGGCTCCGCCAACCACCCTTTTAGCCCCCCCCCAAAAAAAATCTTGGGGCTGTCTTTCGGGCTTCCTCCCCGGCCGGTACCCTCTGCGTTGCCGCTGCTCCTCTCTGTAGCGCGCCTCCACAGTCTCCTCTCCTGCCTGGGCATTCACCTTTGCCCATGGCCCTTTCCCCGCGAATATCTCCTCACAAGACCACCATTTACCCACCTGCGACATCGCCATCTTCTCCTCCTGGGCACGCTGCTTGGTCCTCTTATGGTGGGATCTTCTGTCACGATCGTTGACTGAAGACACAGACCAAGGCGCAGCGTGATAAGCGTACATACTTTTATTTAACGTACTTAACGACAAAAACAACAAACAAACGATACGTGAAGTCCTGCGGTTATAACACAACAAACCTTTACGGATCAAGATCCCACAAAGACTAGTGCAAAACAGGCTGCCTAAGTATGGTACCCAATCAGAGACAACGAGCTACAGCTGCCTCTGATTGGGAACCACCCTGGCCAACATAAATCAAACGATCTAGAACAAAAACATAGAAAAACTAAACATAGCAAATCCACACCCTGGCTCAACATTTAAGAGTCCCCAGAGCCAGGGCGTGACAGACAATGTTTTTTTCTGCTCAGAGTTTGGCTTTTATTAGCAAACGTGAAGATAAATAGCCACCGAAAACTGTACAAGTTTTTACAAAACAACAAAAGGAAATAAACTAAATCAAATAGAGCTCTTCAACCAAAACCCAGGCTTCAAATATACCTACCACCCAGCAGTATGCCAACCTTACCCTGTCTTGTCCAAAAAACAATGAAAGGGTTTAAATACACATAACCACAATGCATCAGCCAATGGGAGGAAGACCTGACACATTGATCAATTAACATTCACAATGCATGAAATTCAATACAAAATGTTCAGTTCATAAACACATGTGTTCATACAGCACACATATCACTAAAGATGCTTCACCTGCTTTACGCATACATACAACCTGGGATATAAATATGTACGTTCCCCCCGGGATAAGCTAGTATCGCATTACCCCCTATCCTGAATAAACCTGTGAAAACTCGGACCAGGAAAACATATACATTTATTTTACTTAACCTTAACGATTTGATAGTTAAACATGAACACATTGTAGTTGTAAGTTTTGGTCAGTACATACATCATTAGAACGAGCATTATACTGTGCACCGCACAACAAGAGGTTTTGCTTGCAGAAACCAATTGTTGGCATGCAGCCATAAACTCTTAACATACATTTCTTCTCTCTTTCACAGATGCTCATCAATCAAAAGAATATAGCCAAACCACACAATTACAATTAATAAATCATTAACCGTTTGCAATGTCTGGTTATTTAGAATAAGCTTAGCTTTAGATGAGGTGACGGAGGTCATAAGGACGATTGTCACAGTATGGTTTCCTAGAAACAAGGGTGGCTCAACTAACTCCATCTTCCCCTATAGGGAGAGCTACCACAATAGGAACAGGACTAGCCATTGTGAGATGGCTTCAATTTTCACAGGCCAGTAATAGCCTACAGGATACCCATATGTGGAGTTACTATGGTGACAAATCCTCAGCTGGACCCAGGTAGCCTACCACAGTTGAAGTTGGCAGGAGCCATCAATACCTGAAGGCTGTGAGTTTACAAAATGAGTGGTTCAAATAAGGACAGCACAAAAGTGTTAAACGTTTACGTCATTTTGCAGAGGCTCTTATCCAGAGTGACTTACAGGAGCAAATGGAAAGGGCTTTCACCTAGTCAGCTCAGGAATTTGAACCAGCTACCTTTCGGTTACTGACCCAAAGCTCTTAACCGTCAGGCAACCTGCCGCCAACATGATCAACAGCGTTTATTCTCAAACAGAGTATCTACAAAAGTCCAGTGCAACAAAACACTTTAAATTGGAATCTGTTTGAAAGCTTAAATCATTTAGAGCCTATCATAAAAAGGAACACATTTAAACTGGGTTTCAGAGCTGATAACTGCATAAAAATGTGTTTAGGATAAATCATGATATTTTTACATGATACCACATTCATCATTTTTGATCAGGTTGGAATATACAGTGGGGAGAACAAGTATTTGATACACTGCCTATTTTGCAGGTTTTCCTACTTACAAAGCATGTAGAGGTCTGTATTTTTTATCATAGGTACACTTCAACTGTGAGAGAAAATCACATTGTATGATTTTTAAGTAATTAATTTGCATTTTATTGCATGACATAAGTATTTGATCACCTACCAACCAGTAAGAATTCCGGCTCTCACAGACCTGTTAGTTTTTCTTTAAGAAGCCCTCCTGTTCTCCACTCATTACCTGTATTAACTGCACCTGTTTGAACTTGTTACCTGTATAAAAGACACCTGTCCACACACTCAATCAAACAGACTCCAACCTCTCCACAATGGCCAAGACCAGAGAGCTGTGTAATGACATCAGGGATAATTGCACAAGAATGGGATGGGCTACAGGACAATAGGCAAGCAGCTTGGTGAGAAGGCAACAACTGTTGGCGCAATTATTAGAAAATGGAAGAAGTTCAAGATGACGGTCAATCACCCTCGGTCTGGGGCTCCATGCAAGATCTCACCTCGTGGGGCATCAATGATCATGAGGAAGGTGAGGGATCAGCCCAGAACTACACGGCAGGACCTGGTCAATGACCTGAAGAGAGTTGGGACCACAGTCTCAAAGAAAACCATTAGTAACACACCACGCCGTCATGGATTAAAATCCTGCAAAGCACGCAAGGTCCCCCTGCTCAAGCCAGCGCATGTCCAGGCCCGTCTGAAGTTTGCCAATGACCATCTGGATGATCCAGAGGAGGAATGGGAGGTCATGTGGTCTGATGAGACAAAAATAGAGCTTTTTGGTCTAAACTCCACTCGCCGTGTTTGGAGGAAGACGAAGGATGAGTACAACCCCAAGAACATCATCCCAACCGTGAAGCATGGAGGTGGAAACATCATTCTTTGGGGATGCTTTTCTGCAAAGGGAACAGGATGACTGCACCGTATTGAGGGCAGGATGGATGGGGCCATGTATCGCGAGATCTTGGCCAACAATCTCCTTCCCTCAATAACAGCATTGAAGATGGGTCGTGGCTGGGTCTTCCAGCATGACAACGACCCGAAACACACAGCCAGGGCAACTAAGGAGTGGCTCCGTAAGAAGCATCTCAAGGTCCTGGAGTGGCCTAGCCAGTCTCCAGACCTGAACCCAATAGAAAATATTTGGAGGGAGCTGAAAGTCCGTATTGCCCAGCGACAGCCCCGAAACCTGAAGGATCTGGAGAAGGTCTGTATGGAGGAGTGGGCCAAATTCCCTGCTGCAGTGTGTGCAAACCTGGTCAAGACCTACAGGAAAAGTATGATCTCTGTAATTGCAAACAAAGGTTTCTGTACCAAATATTAAGTTCTGCTTTTCTGATGTATCAAATACTTATGTCATGCAATAAAATGCAAATTAATTACTTAAAAATCATACAATGTGATTTTCTGGATTTTTAGTTTTAGATTCCGTCTCTCACAGTTGAAATGTACCTATGATAAAAATTACAGACCTCTACATGCTTTGTACGTAGGAAAACCTGCAAAATCGGCAGTGTATCAAATAGTTGTTCTCCCCACTGTATGTCTAAATTCAATTTTAAAATCCCATTTTACAATGTCACTGAAGCCCAGAGAGAGTCATATGTATACAGGTAGAACAAGTCTGTGCAGTAGTTTCTGTAGTATGATATTATTATGTTTCTATCATTTTCTATTCTATTATAATTATAGAACCATAGAAGATACTGTATGTCTGTCTTTTAAATTTTACCACAAGATTGTCTAGTTGAGGAGAGAACCTCAATTTATCTTGTCATTAACAATCCACTCCCACATGTCTTTACTCAACTAGACCACACAAACAGGGCAACACCAAAAACAGCGAATGTAAAAAGGCAGTGGTAGTCTACAATATCCAGAGTTGCGACACACAAACAGCCTCATCTAGTGGAGAAGCAATCTTCTGCGTTCATGAACCACATACAAACACACACAGAGATATGCATCTACTGTAGGTTTACCTACTGTGAAAGCGCTGAGCAAATAATATGATGTTTGAAAAGGCTGAGAGAATGAAGGATGAATCAATCAGAAAATGTATACAATCCTTCCTCAGATGCGAAATGCCCTTAAACTGGAAAATTGGAATGTTCCTAACATGCGTTGTATCTTCAAACAGGAGCAATTACGTTTCTATCACACTGAGATCTTCTGAGTGCCGTTGCTGTCGGCAACATGGCCAGTCTTTGTTGTTTTTGTCCTCAACGTTGGTCTTCATTCTGATATAAAAATGAACAAGTAAGTGGACAACAAAATTAATTCAAGAAAAATATTGAAATGCAGTCTAAACGGGATGTGCTCAGACATGATATGCTTAGAGACCACTTCAAAACACCTGCAGATAGAGCATAAATGGTCAAATTTTGACCAGGACCATTTCTTGCACTAGGATTACTCCAACACCTAGACCCTGTATTCTCCTAGGCCTCTTACCTCCTCAAAGGTGGACATCAAACACTTCATCCCCCAGGGAGTCAGGAGCTTCCTCTGTAATGACTGGGGAGAGAGAACAATGTATCTCTGTGTTAAGGGCACCTCATCAGCCATATTGGAGAACAGCAGAGCTCAAAAGCATTTGCACTGAATAAAAAAACATATGTGTAACTAGGTAACTATGTATCTGTTCATGGAAAGCCACCAGGTGGTCTGAATTATACCAAGAGGTCTACGGGTAGATAGCTCGATTCAGCCACTGAACAGAATGTAATTATATAATAATTTGTACACTGCAAATTGACCACAACTAAACACAAAAAGAGATTGTATTTGAAAATAACAATAATTTCATACCTTGATGACATTGAAATATGATCACATATGTTTCTTTTTTTATTTGTGAGAATACTTGTTGAACAGATTTCCTAAATTAAACAACATTTCAGCCTAATTCCTGGTGATTTTAGTATTTTCTGACCAAAAAAACGAAAATCCTAAAATCTTTGCGGGGCCCGATAAAATCACTCGTGGACCGGTTTTGGCAAAATATACCATACCTAATTGCACTAAACTGTAAAAAGTACTGTACCAGTCCTTGTGCTTCAAGACTAAGTTTGAGACATCCAGGTAAAGATTTTCTTTTTTAAATGTGTTAGTTTAATTTTTATCTTTTATCTTTTTTTCATACTGGCCCCCCGTGGGAAACAAACCCACATCCCTGCCGGCCAAACCCTCCCCTACCTTGGACGACGCTGGACCTATTGTGCGCCGCCCATGGGTCTCCCGGTCGCGGCTGGCTGCGACAGAGCCTGGACTCAAACCAGGATCTCTAGTGGCACAGCTAGCACTGCGATGCAGTGCCTTAGACCACTGCGCCACTCGGGAGTAGGTAAAGATTTGAACATAAAAGAAAAGAGAGGTGAATCGGGTGGTGTGCTTTTACCTGTGTGTTGCATAGCGTGTAGCGGCTGAGCTATAGCAGGCACACTGAAGGAACGGGAGTGTTGGGGTGAATGGTATTCGTGACAGGTGCTCTGTGTTCGTTTGCGGCACTCCACAGCAAGGCGGCTGCGACAATCTTTGTGGCAGCTCACCCCACAGGCTAGAACAAAGAGTGGTAGTTTGGGGTTAAATCTGTTACATCCGAAAACAGACAGTATTGGTACTGGCATTGCTATTGTATTGTTAGATAGCTAGCCTTGGCTTTTTATAGGCAATGTCATATGGCTTTGTGTTTAACTACAGAATGTGACTTGGAATGGTCTTGGAATGGTCTTGGAAAGGTTATGGAAAGGTTTTGAAAAGGTTTTGGAAAGGTTTTGCTTGAGGTTCAGTGCATGCTGCTTAACTTCTTATTGTGTACACTAATCAGTGTCTGTCTCAATGAGCAAGAGTATCTGGTAAATAACTGAATCCTGAAATATAAATGTAAGCTATTATAAGCAAATAAACAATATAATGTCGGTCAACATTACACATTGTCCGTGGGGTGCGGGAGGTGCAGAATTCTGACAGAGATCATTTTATTTGTGTACCTTTACACTTGTATCTTTGTTTGTAAATTCCCCACATCTGAAAAATATAACACATCTGTTACATATCACATTTAGCATTAGAAAAAAAGACAGGTTAATGGTGACTTTGGAAACTAAACTGATTGCTGAATAATTGTCACGATCGTCTACCAGAGAGGAGGACCAAGGCGCAGCGTTGAATGCGAACATTTTATTCTATCAAGATGATCACACGATCAAAACAACAACAACGAAACGTGACGTCCCTGGTTACATAAACCAACCAACACGGAACAAGAAACCACAAACACAAAGTGAAAGACAGACAGTTAAATATGGCTCCCAATCAGAGACAACCAGCTGACACTCGTTGCCTCTGATTGGGAGTCACTCAGGCCAACATAGAAATACAAACATAGAATTACACACCCTGGCTCAACATAACAGTGTCCCCAGAGCCAGGGCGTGACAGTACCCCCCCTAAAGGCGCGGACTCCGACCGCGCCAACTAAATACCGCAGGGGAGGGACCGGATGGGCACTCCGCCTTGGCGGCGGATCCGGCTCCGGACCTGATCCCCACTCCCTCTCCAACCCCCCAAAGTACCCCTGGTCCGGTCTGGCCCCGCTGGCCGGAGCTGGACTGCACACTGATGGAGCGGATTGCTCTAGCTCCGGCGTAACGCATCTGACCGGTGCCGGACCAGGCACCAGTGGAACAGGCACGGGCCGTGCCGGACCGACGACGCACACCACTGGCTTGGTGTGGGGAACAGGCACGGGCCGTGCTGGACTGACGACGCACACCACTGGCTTGGTGTGGGGAGCAGGAGCGGGCCGGACAGGGCTGACGAAACGCACCACTGACTTGGTGCGGGGAGCAGGCCGGGCCGAGCTGGCGACACGCACCGTAGACTTGGTGCGGGGAGCAGGAACGGGCCGAGCCGGGCTGACGAAACGCACCACAGACTTGGTGCGGGGAGCAGGAATGGGCCGGACTGGGCTGGCGACGCGCACCACAGACTTGGTGCGGGGAGCAGGCCGGGCCGAGCTGGCGACACGCACCGTAGACTTGGTGCGGGGAGCAGGAACGGGCCGAGCCGGGCTGACGAAACGCACCACAGACTTGGTGCGGGGAGCAGGAATGGGCCTGACTGGGCTGGCGACGCGCACCAAAGACTTGGTGCGGGGAGCAGGAGCGGGCCGGACCGGGCTGACGAAGCGCACCACTGACTTGGTGCGGGGAGCAGGAATGGGCCGGGCCGAGCTGGCGATGCGCACCGTAGACTTGGTGCGAGTGGCAGGAACAGGCCGGACCGTACTGGGAACACACACCACTGGCCCTACGTGGGGATCAGGAACAGGCCGGACCGGACTGGCAACACACGCCAGTACCTCTCGCCGTGCCTCTACATCTTCCACCCCCTCTTCGACCAGTGGCCCCCGTAACCTGGCGGCCTCCTCTGCCAATCCGCTGGGCCGCTCTGCCGCGGTCTCCTGCTGGCCCGTCGTCCACGGCGTTAGCCCCCCCCTAAAAAATTTCTGGGCGTCTCCCCTACCCGTGGACCAGGTCTCCATGTCCCTCGCCAGCCTTTCGCCCTTCTGCCATAATGTCAAGCCCTTCTCTTCCTCACTCGGCTTGACCCAGTCGAGGAGGCGAAGGAGATCTGTTAGGGATCTCCCTGGCGATGGCTCCTGGACACGCTGCTTGGTCACATCTTGGTGGTTTCTTCTGTCACGATCGTCTACCAGAGAGGAGGACCAAGGCGCAGCGTTGAATGCGAACATTTTATTCTATCAAGATGATCACACGATCAAAACAACAAAAACGAAACGTGACGTCCCTGGTTACATAAACCAACCAACACGGAACAAGAAACCACAAACACAAAGTGAAAGACAGACAGTTAAATATGGCTCCCAATCAGAGACAACCAGCTGACACTCGTTGCCTCTGATTGGGAGTCACTCAGGCCAACATAGAAATACAAACATAGAATTACACACCCTGGCTCAAAATAACAGTGTCCCCAGAGCCAGGGCGTGACAATAATCTTTTTATCTAAATTTCACATGCATCAATTTCAAAGCCTTTGTCGTCAACAATGAGCAGTTAATTAAGTCTTGTTTGTAACTGCCATTTCAGCTTTCTCAGGAGTCAACAAGAGTCAACTGCTGACAGCTTGATTGGTTCAAAATGATACAGAACAGACCTGAAGTGGGGCACCATAGGCTACAGTATGAAAGGAAATTAAGTGATGTGTCCTCAGAATGATAACAGACTAAACGTGAGTGAGAGACAGAAAGAAACACTTAAAAAAAGGAAACAGAACTGATGTGTTGGGATGGAAGCCATCAGGAAATGTGAGATCAGGAAGTCAGTGTTCTTTTGTTTTGTTAGGCAATGTCTTTCCACATCCAAAATGGTGTCCTCTAAATATCTTATTCCACAATTTCCACTATTCTGGTCACAATATGTGCTTCCTATAATATGGGTACCTTAACATAATTTTTTATATACAGGTCCTCATAATAATTGATTTATACCTAATTGTTTCATATTAATTTACTTATGATTAAAAAAAATATTAAAATTTTTGCTTTTACAGGGAGTTGTACATAGTTGAAGCATAGGCACCATTCTACTTACAATGCCTTTACAGTGATGGCAAAGCATAGGCTTCATGCAGCTCTTCTCTGAAAACGTGTGGATGTACCCCATCTTGCTGTTCAGTAAAGAGTTAGCCTTGGTGAAGTAGTCGATCATCTCCTCCTGACTGACTCTGCCGTCCCTGAGACGGTGAGGGGTCAAAGGTTGATATTACAGTAATAACAAGATGCTCTGTGTGACTTGTGGATCTAAAGATAGTTGAAATGTTGGCAATCAATAGTTATGACTTGTGATACTCACTGATTCTTATCCAGGTCGTCAAACTTGCAGAGGTATGGGAAGTTGGTCCTAATGATCTCAAATTCATCCTGAGAGACGTAACCGTCTCTATCAGTGTCGAAATTCTTAAACACCGACTGCGAAAAATGACCAAATGTAAGTTCTCAGTGTCATCTTTTATAATTACATGTAATATTTCAAATATGTTGAACAGCCTACCTCTACCATCTTCTGTATGTGTTTGCTGATGATGGCGGGGTCAGCTTTGGGCTTCACTGAAGATGCCCACTCCTCTATCAGAGGTGGGCTCGTGGTAGACTGGCAAACCAAAACAGATATGTGACAAGAATGAATCTTTCCTCTAGATTACACACAATTGAAGCTCTGTGTCTGTGTCCGTGTCCCTGTGTCCCTGACACACACTCACCAATGGCCTGGCAGTGCGGGGTTCCCTCTGCAGGGACAGCTGATAGATCTCTTCCTCTGAGTGGTACTGGTCCAGAGACACCTGACAGGACCCAAACACAAACTGTTCAATCAAATGCCAACAGGTAAAACAAATCTACCAAGTCTTACAGTATCAGTCAACAGGGCCAGACCATGAGCAGGTTGAGCAGGTCCCTGTTGGCGTCGACGCTGGGTGGCGTGGTCTGGATCAGCGCAAGCTCCTGGAGGATGGCATACAGCTGCTGGGTCTTGGCCAGGTTGACCTGTGTCTTTTCCTGGTCGCTCCAGTCGGGCAGGGCCACGTGCACAGCGATCAGGTCCTTGAGGTGCACGCCCAGGATGGGGAAACGGAAGCCTGTGCTCTCTGAGAAGCGCTGGCGGTACTGGCTATAGTTCCCACAGGACGTCACAAGCTCCACCAGGTTGTTGAACGCCTGAGGCAATAAGGACATCACACAATGTTGGACATCACATAGCTAGAGCAGAACACAGTGGAAATGGAAATAATAGGTCACATTTTGATGTAGACCTACATTCAAAATGCAAATGTTTAGTTGTAATTGGTAAGCAAATGTTTTCACTCTTCTTAACTAAAATAATGATGATCAAAAACTGTTCACCTTGCTCACATCGTTGCTGATGTGTGACTGTGTGTCTTTGAGGCGTGAGATGGAGCTGTTACTGAGACCCCCCACTACTGCCATCAGAGTGTTGAAGTTCTGCAGCTGTAACAACCTCTACAGAGACCAGATACAAAAATATAACCCATCTTAGCCCTAACATAGCCAACAAAACACAGCATGGAACACAAGACAGACCAACTTCTAGAGGGAGTTTGGAAGCCATTCACTGAGAAGCAGTGGTCCTCAAGAACTAACCTAACGGACTTCTCTTTATCTGAAGGATGATTCACACTGATCTGGGAGTTGACTCTTTCTGACCTGGTAGCTGACTCTTTCTGACCTGTGAGTTCAGCCTGATCTCATAGGCTAGACGTAACATGGTAAAGGTAAATCCGGGACACTCAAATTAGGATGATATGTTTAATATGGTTACATAAGACAGAACGTTACTTAAAGCAAAAACAATATTACGCGAACCTCTAGCAACCCAAAGGTTGCATGTTGAAATCTCATCACAGACAACTTCAGCATTTTAGCTAATAAACAACTTTTCAACTACTTACTACTTTTTAGCTACTTAGGATGTTAGCTAACCCTTCCCCTAACCTTAACCCTAAACTTAAGCCTTTTAGCTAACCTTTCCCTAATCCTTTAACCTTAACCTAGCTAACGCTAGCCTGCTAATGTTAGCATTAGCCACCTAGCTATCATTAGACACAACCAACATAACATATCCTTATATTTTCTAACAAAATGGTGACAGTCAACATTAGAACTCCTGTGGGCTCTTTTCTATCACTTGCACTTATGTCACGCCCATTAACACTGCAGAACTGGCAGTGTATGAGCCTTGAATTTAATACAGAGTACAACATAATAAATAAACTGGCATGACACTTTCACCCACGGTTGTCCCAACAGAGCTACCGTAAGGCCACGCCTCCAACAAGCCACACCTCTAGATCCTCTAATAGGCTGCTGCCTCTACAATATTGTACGTTTAGCAAATTCGAAATATATTGTATGAATTGCAATTCGTAAAATATTGTACAATTTTGTAATTTGTAACATATCAAACGAAATGGATGATGGACATCCACAAATTAATACATACCATACAAAACGTAACATCATACTAAATGAAGTGTCTTGGATATACAGTACCAGTCAAAAGTTTGGACACACCTACTCATTCAAGGGTTTTTCTTTATTTTTACTATTTTCTACATTGTAGAATAATAGTGAAGACATCAAAACTATGAAATAACACTTATGGAATCATTTAGCAACCAAAAAAGTGTTAAACAAATCAAAATATATTTTATATTTGAGATTCTTCAAAGAAGCCACCCTTTGCCTTGATGACAGCTTTGCACACTATTGGCATTCTCTCAACCAGCTTCACCTGGAATGCTTTTCCAACAGTCTTGAAGGAGTTCCCACATATGCTGAGCACTTGTTGGCTGCTTTTCCTTTACTCTGCCGTCCGACTCATCCCAAACATTCTCAATTGGTTTGAGGTCGGGGAATTGTGGAGGCCAGGTCATCTGATGCAGCACTCAATCACGCTCCTTCTTGGTCAAATAGCCTGGAGGTGTGTTGGGTCATTGTCCTGTTGAAAAACAAATGATAGTCCCACTAAGCCCAAACCAGATGGGATGGCGTATCGCTGCAGAATGCTGTGGTAGCCATGCTGGTTAAGTGTGCCTTGAATTCTAAATAAATCACAGACAGTGTCACCAGCAAATCACCCCCACACCATAACACCTCCTCCTCCATGCTTCACGGTGGGAACTACACATGCGGAGATCATTCGTTCACCCACACCGCGTCTCACAAAGACACGGCGGTTGGAACCAAAAATCTCCAATTTGGACTCCAGACCAAAGGACAAATATCCACTGGTCTAATGTCCATTGCTCGTGTTTCTTGGCCCAAGCAGGTCTCTTCTTCTTATTGGTGTCCTTTAGGGTCCCCTCTGAACAGTTGATGTTGAGATATGTCTGTGACTTGAACTCTGTGAAGCATTTATTTGGGCTGCATTTTCTGAGGCTGGTAACTCTAATGAACTTATCCTCTGTAGCAGAGGTAACTCTGGGTCTTCCATTCCTGTGGTGGTCCTCATGAGAGCCAGTTTCATCATAGCGCTGGTTTTTGCGACTGCACTTGAAGAAACTTAAAAAGTTCTTGAAATGTTCCGTATTGATTGACCTTCATGTCTTAAAGTAATGATGGACTGTCGTTTCTCTTTGCTTATTTGAGCTGTTATTGCCATAATATGGACTTGGTCTTTTACCAAATAGGGCTATCTTCCGTATGCCCCCCCTACCTTGTCACAACACAACTGATTGGCTCAAACGCATTAAGAAGGAAAGAAATTCCACAAATGAACTTTTAAGAAGGCACACCTGTTAATTGAAATCATTTTTACATTTTAATCATTTAGCAGACGCTCTTATCCAGAGCGACTTACATGAGCAATTAGGGTTAAGTGCCTTGCTCAAGGGCACATCGACAGATTTTTCACCTAGTAGGCTCGGTGATTAGAACAAGCGACCGTTCGGTTACTGGCACAACGCTCTTAACCACTAAGCTACCTCTCTCTCTCTAAGCTACTAAGCTACCTGCATTCCAGGTGACTACCTCATGAAGCTGGTTGAGAGAATGCCAAGAGTGTGCAAAGCTGTCATCAAGGCAAAGGGTGGCTATTTGAAGAATCTCAAATATAAAATATATTTTGATTTGTTTAACACTTTTTTGGTTTCAACATGATTCCATATGTGTTATTTCATAGCTTTGATGTCTTCACTATCATTCTACAATGTAAAATGTGGTCCTCTGTAGCTCAGCTGGTAGAGCACGGCGCTTGTAACGCCAAGGTAGTGGGTTCGATCCCCGGGACCACCCATACACAAAAATGTATGCACGCATGACTGTAAGTCGCTTTGGATAAAAGTGTCTGCTAAATGGCATATTATTATTATTAAAACATGTAAAAATACAGAAAAACCTTGAATGAGTAGGTGTGTCCAAACTTTTGACTGGTGCTCTGAGACCAGATTGGGCAGTTGACTCTTTCTGACCTGGGAGTTGACTCTTTCTGACCTGGGAGTTGACCCTTTGTGACCTGGTAATTTACTTTTTCTGACCTGGTAGTTGACCCTTTCTGACCTGGAAGTTGACTTTCACTGACCTGGGAGTTGATTCATTGACATGGGACTGGGAGTTGATTGACTGACCTGTGCGACCCTAATAAAGTGGGACATGACTGCAGCCCTCTGGGGGGCGGTGGGCTTGCTGAGCACCATCAGCTGGATCCACTGAGACACGCTGTTGAAGAGGGTGATGAAGCGCTCCAGGATGGGGTTATCCACCGTGCAGCCATGCATCACAAAGCTGTGGTAGTCCTGGAACTGGAGGGCAAGGGACCGTTTTAAAAACAGTGTCCAATATGCACATACATACGGTAAAAAGTGCACACAAACACACAGTCTATCTTACTTAAACCACAAATACAATGAATACGGCATATTTCAGCCAAAAGCAAAGTCACCTGAGTGAGACCTAGAAAGAAGCTGGCGAACAGAGCCACCTGCTGGCCACCCACTCACCAGTATCCTACAGAAGGATTTATACTCCATGTAGGTGAGGTGCTCTGCTAGTTCAGATGCGTCCAGGTGATCAAAGAGGAGAGACGTCTTCCTCTTCTTGAAATCAGACCGAGCTGGTTGGCTCACCTGCCTTCTCCACTCATATGACGGCCTAGAGAGAATAAGGAAGGAGTGTCAGCTATCAGTAGAAGTACTGCGAGAGTGGCCGAATGTAGATGCACTCACGCACTCTGAAAATCCTTCTACTGTATCATTAAAATTGAATGCTAAGCTGTCACTGTGTCACTGTGAGGAGACTATGCCTGCCCGGCTGATTGGCTGCTACTATTCTTGTAAGATTGCCTGGCTGAAGACAGGGGGCACTTACACACTGTCAACGTTGATGAGTGTGCTCTGGTGCTCCTCTCCCTGCAGGGCCAGCTGCTCCTTCAGCCCTCTGATCTGCTCTGCCAGCTCTGGGTTCAGGTCAAACTCTGCTGGGAACTCGCTGATCCAGTACCTTACGGAGAGATGGGGTTACAGGGATAGAAAAGCAGGACGGGAGAAGTTAGTGCTCAGACCAGAGAGTATGGAAATCATATTTCTACATGGAGATCATATGCTTACACAGAAATAGTATGCCCATTGCTTACAGGGAAATCATATATGTATGTATGTATGTATGTATGTATGTATGTATGTATGTATGTATGTATATATATATATATATATATATATATATGTGTGTGTTAATGTTGACAGACATGCACAGAATCTATCTCACGACTAAGACCTATAGCAGTTCTTCCTCTGTGCCTCCATGATGTTCTATGCTATATTCACTCACTTGATAAGATGGCAGATTTGTGACCTGAGTTCAGGCAGACAGTTTTCCTCCAGCGACCTGTTGTGTGGTTAAGGAACAAAATGACTTTTCCACCAAAAGGATTTGAACCCCCTGGTCTAGTAATCCTTTGGCCCATTGCTAATATGGCAAAAATAAACCTCTGCTAGCATCTTGGAACATTAGTGTGTCAGGATACTTGTTGGAGAGTTTCTTGGCCAGGTCAGCAGAGGAGAGGTACCAGGGATGCATCATGAGAAACATCCGGACCAGAGACTCATCATTTAGCCTGCCTTCATCATCTACCAGGAAAGGAGAGACAGAGATACATGGATGAGCTTCACTGTACAAGGCAAGCTGCCACATATTGTGTAAATCATTTAAACATAGGAACTACTGCAGTTGTACAAACCAAACAACAATCAAAACATTATCTAAGCATGTACTGTCTGCAACTGTCTACACCAGAAGAGAGTCAAAGGGAGATGAATCCTGACCAAATGCTTTGATGCAGGCATCAGTAAGCTCATCGACTGTCGCTGAATGATCCAATTTGATGGACTTCATCCTCCTCAAACGGTTCTCTCTCCAACGGCCCTCTCTGTTCTCTCCTCCGTTCACACACACACAGTGTGAATGTGATGAGGTGTGGGATTTAGAAGAATGGCCGTGTTCTCTATTCTGTTGGGCAACCTTCCAGCAGAGCCCTCTGATGAGTCGGTTAGTCCTCAGACAGGCAGCTACCCTGCTCCAGTCAACAAGCCAAGAAAGTATCTTCCTCTTTTATGAAGCGTTTAGTTTAAGCATGCTTCCTGCCCCACCTTAAAACAAGAACATTGGTACAGTTATGAAAACAAAAAAACACCATTGAGAGTAGGCCTTCAGCAATTCGGTATTCAACTGTTTGCTTACTGATGTTAATACAAATGTAATATTTTTGTGACACAAGAACCTGCAACATGGCAATACTAATTCACCCTTCCACATACATTTTTATCTGATTATAAATGAAGAAAGGAAAAGATAATCCCAGCCAAAGGATTACCCATCAGACAGAGATTAAGTGTGTTAGTGGCTGTTTTCCCAGATATCAAATAAATGTCAAAAGTTATCTCAAACACAATTACAGTTTTGCACTTGCAAATTGAGTTTAAAAACATTGACTGAACTTATAATTTGATTACCTATTAGATACAGTACATGAGTCATTAAGACATTATTTGCAGCACTTGACACCACAACCAGTCTACCAAACTATGTTATATTAATTAAAAAAGGTCTTACCCTCTTGAATTGAACACAGCAGTAATATCATAAGATGTGTAAACTTGAAAAATTGTCCGTCATCAAGTGGATTGCAAATATCAAGAGAACTTCACAGAAGGACTGTATTTGGTCATGTTAAGACCTCGTTAACTATCTAGCTAACTGTTAATGTTATTACTGAAGATTCCATCACAAGACTACGAAAGCTGTCTGAACCCCTCCATTCCATTACTCCTTCAAAGCAGTTTGTCTAACTAAGTGACAGTTATATATCCCTTCAGATGCCTTTTGCTCTCAGTTTCCTTTTTGCTGAGCATTTTAGTGCGGTCACATTTCCTCTTTACAGACCGTGCCCCAAAAGTACCTTCCCTTCTAAAGTACATGCACTTTCACTGCCAAAGCAGTGCTGTTGGTGGTGTGATTGCAGTAAAGTATTATTAAGGGTACTTTGTCAGATGAAATAACAAAGCACTTACATGTTGTAATGGAAATTATATTTTATTTGACAATTTAAAATACATAAAGAAGCCACACAAGGCAACAAATACATGTACCAAAATGACAGAGGATTATATACACAAAAAGTCAAAAGACGTCTGTCTGTCTATGTTTCTCGCTCTCTCTCTACACACACACACACACACACACACACACACACACACACACACACACACACACACACACACACACACACACACAAGAGAGAGAGAGGGTGGGGCTGTTATGCTGGTTTTCTAGTTATTCAGTTGCTCTGAGGTAGCAGATCCCTGACATCATAAACAGCTCCTTCAGAAAGTATTCACACCCCTTGACTTTTTACCAAAAATATTGTGTTATAGCCTGAATTTTTAATTGATGACATTTAGATTAATACTCCATAATTTCGAAGTGGAATTATGTTTTTCAAATGTTTTACAAATTAATTACAAATGTAAAGCTGAAATGTCTTGAGTCAATGTGTATTCAACCCATTTGTTATTAAAAGCCTAAATAAGTTCCGGAGTAAAAATGGATTTAACAAGTCACATGGTAAGTTGCATGGACTCACTCCGTGTGCAATAATAGTGTTTAACATGATTTTTGAATGACTACCTCATCTCTGTACCACACGCATACAATTACCTGTAAGGTCCCTCAGTCGAGCAGTGAATTTCAAACACAGATTCAACCACAAAGACCAGGTAGGTTTTTCAATGCCTTGCGAAGAATGGCACCCATTGTTAGATGGGTAAAAAAAAAAAAAAAAATGACATTGAATAGCCATTTGAGCATGGTGAACTTATTAATTACACTTTGGAAAGGGGGATACCTAGTCAGTTGTACAACTGAATGCATTCAACTGAAATGTGTCTTCCACATTTAACCCAACCCCTCTGAATCATAGAGGTGCGGGGGGCTGCCTTAATCGACATCCACATCATCGGCGCCCGGGAAAAGTGGGTTAACTGCCTTGCTCTGGGGCAGAACGACCGATTTTTACCTTGTCAGCTCAGGGATTCAATCCAGCAACCTTTCGGTTACTGGCCCAACGCTCCTACCCACCAGGCTACCTGCCGTATCAATACGCCCTGTCATTACAAAGATACAGGCGTCCTTCCTAACTCAGTTGCCGGAGAGGAAGGAAACCACTCAGGGATTTAACCATGAGGCCAATGGTGATTTTAAAACAGTTACAGTTTAATGATTGTGATAGGAGAAAACTGAGGATGCTTTATGCCTTGTATGTGAATCCATTCATTGTACAATGTTAATTAAATATCTGCCTTTGATATAGACAATTCTCAGACCAATTCTTGCTAGTCAATGTCAACTCATTGCGTAATGCTTGCTTGTATATTTTAATTATCTTTATAGAGTCAGATAAAAAATGTAATAGGCTAATTGCTTAGTCTCATTACGAGTCACATGTGAGGTATTTATAATATCATATGTAATGTATGTCAAATATGACTGCCCACTACACATTTATTATACAGCAATTCCGGACGAGATGTTGAAAAATCTCAGAGAAAATCTCAAACAGACAGTAACTACGCACAAGCTGCCAAGGGGTCATTTCCCATGACCCTATTACGACCCATGACCCTACGAACCTGCATTTCCTAGCTCATCCAAATTCACTGTTCACCTTTTTATGTAAATACATACTGTACGCCAACATATGCATATGACAACGAGAGAAATGTTTTGGATGCAGATGGTCTATGTAAATTTCAAGTGGTGTTGAGTTGTTGGAAATATGGAAGGTTTGGCTCATGTTAACATATATTCTAAGAGTTTCAGTTCTTCTATTCGTTTTCAGTATGAAACAGCATCTACAGTAAGTAAACTCGCTGCAGGGACAAGACGCAGTAATGATTACACCATCCTAATGCGGAAAGGTCACCGAAACAAATATTGCCCTTCCCTTTAAAGCTGTGGGGGTGCTTGGTTTGTGTCAGGCTACAAGTGTTGTGTACACTGGCTCCTGACATTCACCAGACATGCCTTTCAAATATCATGGCCTTTCAGACTGGGTCACAGCTGCTATTAATGAACCAGGCCTCCATGATAGCACCAGAGACAGTACTGTCTGAAGATAGGCTAAAACGGCTTCTCCAATAGAAATCCCCGATCACACTTGTAGGCGATGTCATGGTGAAGTTGGCTAGCTAAGCTCATGTGTAGAAACACGTCATCGGGTCTAATGGTCATCAAAGGCGCTCCTTCGACATAAAGTTGTTTTTGACTAAAATGAAAAGTTTGTCACTTTCACGAGTAGTAACATGTTCAACTACTACTATTTAAGACATCGGTTCGAATCCAGGTGGTGCCTTTAGATTTCGAGAAAATTAACAACTAAGGAAGAATTTTTCACTTCTTTCACCCCAAACCCCAGCCATTCAGGACCTGTATACCAGGCAGTGTCAGAAGAAGGCATGGAAAAGCGTTAAAGACTCCAGCCACCCAAGTCATAGACTGTTCTCTCTGCTTCCGCACGGCAAGCAGTACCGGTGCATCAAGTCTGACACCAACAGGCTCCTGAACAGCTTCTATCCCCATGCCATAAGACTGCTAAATAGCTAACTAAATAGCTAACAAAATGGCTACACGGACTATCTGAGTTGACCCTTTTTGATTTTTAATTAATTAATTTGTAAATTATGGTGGAAAATAAGTATTTGGTCAATAACAAAAGTTTCTCAATACTTTGTTATATACCCTTTGTTGGCAATGACACAGGTCAAACGTTTTCTGTAAGTCTTCACAAGGTTTTCACACACTGTTGCTGGTATTTTGGCCCATTCCTCCATGCAGATCTTCTCTATAGCAGTGATGTTTTGGGGCTGTCACTGGGCAACACGGACTTTCAACTCCCTCCAAAGATTTTATAATGGGGTTGAGATCTGGAGACTGGCTAGGCCACTCCAGGACCTTGAAATGATTCTTACGAAGCCACTCCTTCATTGCCCGGGCGGTGTGTTTGGGATCATTGTCATGCTGAAAGACCCAGCCACGTTTCATCTTCAATGCCCTTGCTGATGGAAGGAGGTTTTCACTCAAATTCTCACGATACATGGCCCCATTCATTCTTTCCTTTACACGGATCAGTCGTCCTGGTCCCTTTGCAGAAAAACAGCCCCAAAGTATGATGTTTCCACCCCCATGCTTCACAGTAGGTATGGTGTTCTTTGGATGCAACTCAGCATTCTTTGTCCTCCAAACACGACGAGTTGAGTTTTTACCAAAAAGTTCAATTTTGGTTTCATCTGACCATATGACATTTTCCCAATCCTCTTCTGGATCATCCAAATGCAATCTAGCAAACTTCAGACGGGCCTCGACATGTACTGGCTTAAGCAGGGGGACACGTCTGGCACTGCAGGATTTGAGTCCCTGGTGGCGTAGTGTATTACTGATGGCAGGCTTTGTTACTTTGGTCCCAGCTCTCTGCAGGTCATTCACTAGGTCCCCCCGTGTGGTTCTGGGATTTTTGCTCACCGTTCTTGTGATCATTTTGAACCCACGGGGTGAGATCTTGCGTGGAGCCCCAGATCGAGGGATATTATCAGTGGTCTTGTATGTCTTCCATTTCCTAATAATTGCTCCGACAATTGATTTCTTCAAACCAAGCTGCTTACCTATTGCAGATTCAGTCTTCCCAGCCTGGTGCAGGTCTACAATTTTGTTTCTGGTGTCCTTTGACAGCTCTTTGGTCTTGGCCATAGTGGAGTTTGGAGTGTGACTGTTTGAGGTTGTGGACAGGTGTCTTTTATACTGAAAACAAGTTCAAACAGGTGCCATTAATACAGGTAACGAGTGGAGGACAGAGGAGCCTCTTAAAGAAGAAGTTACAGGTCTGTGAGAGCCAGAAATCTTGCTTGTTTGTAGGTGACCAAATACTTATTTTCCACCATAATTTGCAAATAAATTCATTAAAAATCATACAATGTGATTTTCTGTAAATTATTTTCTCAATTTGTCTGTCATAGTTGACGTGTACCTATGATGAAAATTACAGGCCTCTCTCATCTTTTTAAGTGGGAGAACTTGCACAATTGGTGGCTGACTAAATACTTTTTTTCCCCACTGTATATTTAAACTAAATTTTTCAGAATTCCTGACATTTAATCCTAGTAGAAATTCCCTTTCTTAGGTCAGTTAGGATCACCACTTTATTTTAAGAATGTGAAATGTCAGAATAATAGTAGAGAGAATGATTTATTTCAGCTTGTATTTCTTTCATCACATTCCCAGTGGGTCAGAAGTTTACATACACTCAATTAGTATTTGGTAGCATTGCCTTTAAATTGTTTAACTTGGGTCAAACGTTTCAGGTAGCCTTCCACAAGCTTCCCACAATAAGTTGGGTGAATTTTGACCCATTCCTCCTGACAGAGCTGGTGTAACCGAGTCAGGTTTGTAGGCCTCCTTGCACGCACACGCTTTTTCAGTTCTGCCCACAAATGTTCTATAGGATTGAGGTCAGGGCTTTGTGATGGCCACTCCAATAACTTGACTTTGTTGTCCTTAAGCCATTTTGCCACAACTTTGGAAGTATGCTTGGGGTCATTGTCCATTTGGAAGATCCATTTGCGACCAAGCTTTAACTTCCTGACTGATGTCTTGAGATGCTGCTTCAATATATCCACATAATTGTCCTTCCTCATGATGCCATATATTTTGTGATGTGCACCAGTCCCTCCTGCAGCAAAGCACTCCCACAGCATGATGCTGCCACCCCCATGCTTCACGGTTGGGATGGTGTTCTTTGGCTTGCAAGGTCTCCCCTTTTTCCTCCAAACATAAAGATGGTCATTATGGCCAAACAGTTCTATTTTTGTTTCATCAGACCAGAGGACATTTCTCCAAAAAGTAAGATCTTTGTCCCCATGTGCAGTGGCTTCTTCCTTGCTGAGCGGCCATTCAGGTTATGTCGATATAGGACTCGTTTTTATGTGGATATAGATACTTTTGTACCTGTTTCCTCCAGCATCTTCACAAGGTCCTTTGCTGTTGTTCTGGGATTTATTTGCACTTTTCACACCAAAGTACGTTCATCTCTAGGAGACAGAACGCGTCTCCTTCCGGAGCGGTATGATGGCTGCGTGGTCCCATGGTGTTTATAGTTGCGTACTATTGGTTGTACAGATGAACGTGGTACCTTCAGGCGTTTGGAAACTGCTCCTAAGGACGAACCAGACTTGTTGAGGTCTACCATTTTTTTCTGAGGTCTTGGCTGATTTATTTTGATTTTTCCATGATGTCAAGCAAAGCGGTACTGAGTTTGAAGGTAGGCCTTGAAATACATCCACAGGTACACCTCCAATTGACTCAAATTATGTCAATTAGCCTATCAGAAGCTTCTAAAGCCATGACATCATTTTCTGGAATTTCCCAAGCTGTTTAAAGGCACAGTCAACTTAGTGTATGTAAACTTCTGACTCACTGGAATTGTGATACAGTGAATTATAAGTGAAAAAGTCTGTCTGTAAACAATTGTTGGAAAAATTACTTGTGTCCTGCACAAAGTAGATGTCCTAACCGACTTGCCAAAACTATAGTTTGTTAACAAGAAATGTGTGGAGTGGTTGAAAAATGAGTTTTAATGATTCCAACCTAAGTGTATGCAAACTTCCGACTTCAACTGTACATTTATAGTGACTCTACACACGCACACCCACTCACATACAAGCTGCTGCTACTCTGTTGATCTTATATCGTGTTGCCTAGTCACCTTACCTCTATGCATATCTACCTCTATTGATCCAGTATCCCTGCACATTGTAAATAATGGTACTGGAACTGACCCTGTATATAGTACGCTTACTTACTTCTCATGTTCTACTTATTTCTTATTTGTATATCTTGTGTGTTTTTGTTCTACCTTGTTATTTTTTTTGTATTACATTGTTATTGATTACTGGATTGTTGGGGTTAGAGCTTGCAAGAAAGGCATTTCACTGTAGTTGTGCATGTGACATTAAAAACGTAGTCTGTTTCGCAAGCGTTCCCGGAGGGCTGGGGATGTTGCGCCTCTGGGTTTAGAAACTCTGTGGTTGTAGAGAGAAATAGCGCAATACTAGTAGAACAAATTCATAGGATAATTCCTATTACATTTTATACCAGCAGAACACCGGTATAAAAATCAATCTCAATCCATCGCATCCGCCGATGTTGTCCTTCTGCATCTGTGGTGGAAGGTGGCCAACTTCAACTGTGTTTGTCAGAACAGGAGACCTTCCGAAAATCGGACTTCTCACGAAAACGTCTGTAGCGTACGACCTATAGAAAGATGAGACTCTCACGATGGTGTTCTCGGTTTTGCTCTGCGACACCCACAAGCGTCATGGGACTCGTCTGAAGTCAGTTTGGGCTACACACTAATATGTAGTACCCACCATTGAAAGGTGAGACTCTTAGAAACACCTACAGTACATGTTGGTTGTTTTGCTCTAGGACTCTCACAAGACTCGTCTGAAGGTAGCCCTGTACCAGTTAAAAAAAGTATGGAAGTACTTTGGTGCCAAAAAATTAGTTCAATATGAGTCAATTTAAAATAAAATACAAATCTGAGCTTTCTTATCTCTCAGATACGCCTAAATCCATAGACACTTAAAAGTTCAAAGTTTTTTTTTCCATGACAATTCAATTCAGATTAATTTAGTTTCTAGACTGCAAGATGTGAAATAGGCCTTAATCTAAACATTTGAAAATATTCCTATGTAATAATAGGGACTGAGTAGTAATTGGATCTCCCTTTTGAGTATGCCCCACCTTCTTCTTAATATTCATGATCACTCTTATAAATAGGTGAACGTGGCCCATCCATGTGGGTGCTTCTGTAGTAGTATCTGAACTGGGTGGACTTGCACCTTTTACTGTAACAAGGAAGCCGGTGTTAGAGCATCATGTCAAAACCGTTGTCAGACCACGATAAAAGGAAGCAGATCTCCGTGAGAGGTCTTGCCGGTGTGGAAAATGTCGCAGAACTGAAGGTCGCTTTCAATAGGCATCTCCATTTTACACTGGTCAAGGACAGAAATGTGGCAACCAAACGGGATTACTACTTTGCTCTCGCCAACACCGTGCGCGACCACTTGGTGGGCAAGTGGATCAGAACCCAGCAGTACTACTATGAGAAAGATCCCAAAGTAAGTTCCACTGTTAAAATGCTCGTATCATCTGTATCCTCCTAAAATCCATAGAATAGAAATAAACAGAAAGAAATGGAATAGAATAGGATGTCAAATTTCCCCTTTGGTTTCACAGTAACATCTAGCAATGAAAAATAGACAACATTAGTCATTCATCATAAAGAGCATTCCATGTTAATTTTTTTGAAAAATAATGATATGGGAAATATATGGCCATACTGTGAGAAAAGTAAATAACATTGTAATGTTACATTTCAGTGGTCTTGGTTATACCACACTATTTTAGTAATGAATGTATTATTGTGTGCCTCCGACCTCAGACCTACTGTTCCAGTGGCCAGTGTTATTAGCAGGATAATAGCCAACTTAGGACATATGGTTTGAAAACATCATATTTTTACATTTTAGTTGTCAGATTCTCTTATCCAGAGCAACTTACAGTAGTGAGTGCATACATTTTTGTACTTTGTTTCCTACTGGTCCCCCATGGGAATCAAACCCACAACCCTGCTCTACCAACTGAGCCACACGAGATCATAAGATCTCCATGGCAATTTAATATCACACATACTGTATACTCTTAACACACATACTGTATACTCTTAACACATACTGTATACTCTTATAAACTCTTAACCACATACTGTAATACTCTAACACATAAGTATACTCCTTAACACAGACTGTATACTTTAACACACAACGGTTACTCCTTAACACCATACTTGTTACTCTTAACACCATACTGTATACTCTTAACACATCTGAAATACTCTTAACACACATACTGTACTCCTTAACACATACTGTTCCTCTTAACACCTACTGATCTCTTAACACATACTGTATACTCTTCCCACATCTGTCTACTCCTTAAAACAAACATACTGATACTCTTAACACATACTGTATACTCTAACAACATACCTGTAATACTCTTAACACACATCGGTATACTCTTAACCAATACTGTATACTCTTAACACATACTGTTATCTAAACACATACTGATACTCTTAACCCATAATGTATACTCTTACACTACTGTTACTCTTACACACATACTGTATACTCTTAACACATACTGTATACTCTTAACACCATACTGTATACTCTTAACACATACTGTATACTCTTAACACACATACTGTATACTCTTAACACACATACTGTATACTCTTAACACATACTGTATACTCTTAACAAATGACACATTTGAAGCCTGGTTGTATAATTCACTATGGTAAGTTTTTTTTACTAGTCATTCCCCAGCAACATGCTGCTGTCCACACAGGGTCTCTGTCCCTGGGTTAAGTCTCTTTGCCAAATGTTGCATTGCTGCATTAATGCAAGCAGTATCACCATGACATTTCCAATTCACTAGTGCTCCTCAGTCGTGATGATCTGCTATACTAAACCTGTCTGTGACCTTCTCTCCTCCCCCCCACCTCGTACACGTAGTTCATCCTGGAGCTGATATAGCTACAGCTGTAGGAGTAGCAGAAGTGCCAATTGACATCAACGAGTGTAAAGGAGCAGGGAAAAACTTTGTTCCATACCCTCATTGATTAGTTTTATGTTACTGAGCCTTCTATTTAGTTGTGAATCAGCCTCTTCCATAACTACCTTATTCATGCAACATCCTTACAGACAATGAAACCTAGTCAGTAACGATGAACAGGATCTAAAGCCGTAAGAAATTTTCTTGACACAGAAAAAACTAAATCAGATATTATATTTTACCAATATGTCACAGATATCATATATGATATTCCCTCTGTGAAATATGTATATATATATATATATATATATATATGTTTATAACATGTTTATAGCATGTTTATAGCATGTTTATACCAACTAAGGTAAGTACAATACACGAAGAAGTTGCTGCCTGTACAGCACTTTCCTTCTGACCTTCTACTTCATTACATCATCCGAGGTCAGCTGGTGGTTATGGTGTCCCTAGCTGAAAGGTCAAAAGGTATTCCCTGATAGAAAGGTCAAGACAGAAACCCATTAGCAGGGAGGGCAAGAGGACATTTAATCTGAGAAGAAAATTGGGAGGCTGGTTAGAGTTTAAATGTATGAGAACATAGAGAGCTGTTCTCCTTACATGCCAAAAAACGACCGTTGTTTTGTTGATGATGATGCATTTAATCTAATGTATTTAATACATCTGCAAATGATGTGGTCTTGGACAGGAAAACTGTAACACACTGGGGAAATGTTCTCAGCATGGACAGTATCACTGCCATGGTGGTATAAACTATATCAAAATATTGGAGTGAAAGGGACTGAATTATTGAAACATCAACGAGTGCATATCATTTTACATTTTATATTTTAGTCATTTAGCAGACGCTCTTATCCAGAGCGACTTACAGTTAGCGCATACATTATTTTATCGAACCCACAACCCTGGCGTTGCAAACGCCATGCTCTACCAACTGAGCTACATCCCCTGCCGGCCATTCCCTCCCCTACCCTGGACGACGCTGGGCCAATTGTGCGCTGCCCCATGGGTCTCCCGGTCGCGGCCGGCTACTGTGAATTGAATTGCTAATCGTTTAACTCACATGTTTCATTGAGTATTGACTGGTTCATTTACATATATGATATCATAATTTATTTCTCATCTAATGAAACCACACACTCCTTAGTAATTAGATTTTCATGGGGGAGGTATGTGTACTGTGCAATGGAAATATCTATACGGAAACTCCTGATCTGCAAACCGATATTTAAATGTCAGAATTGGCACAAATTAGGTTAGGGTCATAGTTAGGGTCAGGTTTAGGGTAAGGGTCAGGGTAAGGGTTAAGTTAAGGGTCAAGGTCAGGGTCAGTTTTAGGTCAGCAGTGACCTTATAGAGTCTCCCCTGTGGAATGAGTCATTTCTGGATAATATTTTTGACCATTTAGGGGGGCCTGTTTGGCTCAAGACCACCCCCAGTGGTTAAAATATAGTATTTAAGAGAAGCCTTAACCCAACCTATCATACTTGTACCCAAATTGTTACCAATTTTATGATATATGGCCATATTTATTTGGTAGACATTTAGTTGCACATTTACACAAGATAGAGAGCTCATTTGGAGGGTTCACTCGTACACTGTACCCCAAAGTACAACATTAAGTCATTTATTAGACTTGATACACTAGCTCTCTACATACTTGATACACTAGCCCTGTACATACTTGATATCAGTACCCTCCCTGGTACAGCTACAGTATGTTTTCAGACCTCTCTTTTACTATTCATGAGTATCACACACAGACTAACCTTTACAACAACCCCAGCTGAAGCTATTTTTGCCTGAGCCAAAATGCCAATGTTACGTAACACCAACAGCAATCTGTCTCCCGTAGCGCCTATCACCCCTCCTCTCTGTCCTCCTCCCCCTCCTCTCTCCCCTCCGTCCCCTCCTCCCCCCTCCCGCCTCTCCGCCCCCTCCTTCCCTCCTCTCTCCCCTCCGCCCCCTCCTCCTCCCCCCTCTCGCCCCTCCTCTACTCTCTCTGCCAGAGAGTGTGCCAGACCTCCCTATCCAACACCAAGAGAAAAACATGTAAAATGTCAAAGGCTAAACAACTGTAAGGCTCAGGTGTCAGAGTTCCACACGCTCATGTTTACAGGCAGACCATAAAAAGTATTCTAGGAATTTGCTTGACAGTTTGAATGGGTTTGTGTTACTGTATCTGACACATTACACTCACATCAGCATTTGGGTTCATTAGTATTTTGGTTACAGTCGTTCACCAAGTGTTCAACAGTCCATAAAATAATTCAATGCACTTATTAAAACAGCAGACTGTGACTCATTGGGTTAGAGAATCAATAAGATGGCCAAGCCCTTAATATTGTCTCCTCTGGTTGTTAGCTCTGCTACTGTATCCCACACTCATCTCTCTCTCACTCTATCCCCCACCTCTCTTGTCCTCAGCGGGTGTACTATATCTCCCTGGAGTTTTACATGGGTCGCACCCTGCAGAACACTATGGTGAACCTGGCCCTGGAGAACGCCTGTGATGAGGCCGTATACCAGGTGAGGGATGCTCACAGTCATTCAGATAGCTTTTTCATTGCTGTGGCTCACCACGGCAGTCAAACTGACTTCACCTTGTGTAACATAGCTACATTTTCTACCCTCGTTCATTTTTTTGGGGGGTCAAAAGATCCACCCCTGTTTTAACTGAATGTCATGGCCACAGAGCTGTGATTTGAACCTGACTTGACCTGAGCCCCTCTATTCTCCATAGCTGGGTTTGGACATGGAGGAGCTGGAGGACATGGAGGAGGATGCTGGCCTGGGAAACGGTGGTCTTGGTCGTCTTGCCGGTCAGTTGCCTAGCTACTTCCTCTCACAGAGAGAGTGTGACATTGGTGTGCCTTAGACGGTTGTTTGAATTACACTAGAATGAGCTAAACATTATATAATGATATAACATGATAAGTTAATTTGGCCAGTGTAACCCTAACCTAAGCCTTCCCTGGTCCTCAGCATGCTTTCTGGACTCAATGGCTTCTCTGGGCCTTGCTGCCTATGGCTATGGTATCCGCTATGAGTTTGGCATCTTCAACCAGAAGATTGTCAATGGCTGGCAGGTAACATATATACACTCCTATGCTTTTGGGGAACTTTTTCTTATGTTTCCCCATCATTTTCAGACCATAAGACACAGAGGTGGACTGTGAAACAACTTTGCCCGACAGACTGTATTACATTTCAATTTTAGTAATTTAGCAGACGCTGTTATCCAGAGTGACTTACAATTAATGCATTCATCTTAAGATAGCTGGGTGATACAACCACATATCACAGTCGTAGCAAATACATTTTCCCTCAATAAAGTAGTTATCAGCAAAGTCAGTGCTAGTAGGAACATATTACGTTTTTTGTATAACCCAATGATTGACAGGTTGAGGAGGCCGATGATTGGCTGCGTTACGGCAACCCCTGGGAGAAGGCCCGCCCCGAGTACATGCGCCCCGTCAGATTTTATGGCAGGACCGAGCACACCCCAGATGGTGTGAAATGGGTTGACACTCAGGTGAATAAAGGACAGGGGTTGGGGTGAGATTGAGGGTGCATATGAGGGAGACGAGTGTGTGTGTGTGTGTGTGTGTCTGAGAAGGGAGAGAAAAACAAGGTGCTGCTATGGCAACTGGATGCCACCAATGAACCATCAATGAATATGGATTCTGTTAGCAGGTTTCTTTAAATTCAGTCTCTTGTCATTGCGTTGACAGGTAGTGTTGGCTCTGCCATACGACACCCCTATTCCCGGCTACAGAAACAACATTGTCAACACCATGCGACTGTGGTCTGCTAAGGCCCCATGCGACTTCAACCTGAAAGACTGTAAGTGTACACTTTGCTTGGCTAATTGTTTTCACCTTGACTGGCTGCATTCCACCATTTCATATGCTTATTTAGTCAAATCTGCAAATGGCTACTCATGTAGCATGACGTAATTGGCCACTGGGAACCATTATCCTTAGGGTTTGTTTTTCCCTGTCTCAACAGTCAACGTTGGTGGCTACATTCAGGCTGTGTTGGACAGAAACTTGTGTGAGAACATTTCCCGTGTGCTGTACCCCAACGATAACGTAAGGATACATACTAGAATTTGAAAACTTGTGAATTGTGATGAATTCAAGATGGTGACAGACAGATGTGCAGGTCAGTGTGGACTCACCTCTACATGTCTTCCTCCCCAGTTCTTTGAGGGCAAGGAGCTTCGTCTGAAGCAGGAGTACTTTGTGGTGGCTGCCACTCTGCAGGACATCATCCGTCGTTTCAAGGCCTCCAAGTTTGGCTCCAGAGAGATCGTCCGCACAGACTTTGCCGAGCTGCCGAACAAAGTGAGAACCCCCTATTGGTTATTCAAACATATACTGATATGTCTTCATGTCACTTACAGTTGTGGTCAACTGGAGTTTGATTTACAACGTATTTGTTTGATTTACAATGGCACCGGACCCAAAAAATGATAATCAAAACTGAAATGTTGATTTTTCACTTAAAACAGAACATTTTGCTCCATTGCGTTCCATTGTAAAGTGCAAGGGTGCCAATGTATTTGACTGCAACTGTCTCCATGTCACTGGCTTAAGTATAGTTATTTTGATGACTTGTTCTGATGTGAAATTGTGATATAATAAAAATAATAACAATGTACTCAATATCTGTCACATCCAGGTTGCCATCCAGCTGAATGACACTCACCCTGCCATGGCTATTCCTGAGCTGATGAGGGTCCTGCTTGATGAGGAGAAGCTGGGTTGGGACAAGGTGAGTGGAAGCTAATGAGGGTACTGGTTGATGAGGAGAAGCTGGGTTGGGACAAGGTGAGTGGAAGCTAATGAGGGTACTGGTTGATGAGGAGAAGCTGGGTTGGGACAAGGTGAGTGGAAGCTAATGAGGGTACTGGTTGATGAGGAGAAGCTGGGTTGGGACAAGGTGAGTGGAAGCTAATGAGGGTACTGGTTGATGAGGAGAAGCTGGGTTGGGACAAGGTGAGTGGATGAGATAACTATCATCATGACAACTGAATGTGTTTTACAGCTGTACAACTACACTGGTTCTGATCAATAATTTATATATACACTAGATGACTGATAGGGGGCGCTGTGTTGAAGCCACCGTGCCTCCATCTTGGCACTCCCTCACCGTTGTAAAAAATATTTTAAAAGCTATAGAAATTTATTTATGAATGTCTACATTCGTTTTTGCCACATTTATTCTATTACAGACACCTTAATGCATACTTTTAAATTATATTATGTGAGATAAATATACAAATAAAACATGAAATAAATAGATTACTAATGTTACTGTCCCCACTACAACAAGAAAATACTTAAATCCTTGAAACATTTAATTTAAATACTATAGAATTCCATTCATTCCTATGGAAGACTGCTCTGACTGGAGAGTGCCAATATGGCCGACCTGTGGCTTCAAAGCCTCTCAATGGTCAATACATGGCATCAGCAATCCAAGGTGTATATACATCATTGGTTCTGATGTGTCACACTGGGTAGACTGAACTATTTTCATTGGAACTGCCCTGGGCAGTAGTGTACGGTACATCCAGTATTACTTCGAAAGCCATGGAGTGTGGGGTTGTACTTTAATAATGATACCAGCAGGGGGCAACAAATATCAGCATAGTAGAATGTGTTGGCTTGGCAACACACTACAGATAAAGATTTAGCACAAATGTAAAGCTAGGACTATTAAGACTACCATTCATTTATCCTACTTCTGTCTAGAAGGGGGCAAATTAACCATGAGGTTTATAAATGGTATTATCTTACCTCTGTCCCTGTGTGTGTCCAGGCCTGGGACGTGTGTGTCCGTACCTGTGCCTACACAAACCACACCGTGCTGCCTGAGGCCCTGGAGCGCTGGCCCCTTGACCTGTTCCATCATCTGCTGCCCCGTCACCTGGAGATCATCTTCGAGATCAACCGTCGCTTCTTGGAGGTACGTGAGGCCGATGGCACAAAGACTAATGGTAGCCTACCGTGCAGGAAGTGTTATTACAGATAAGTGTTCCTTACGCTTTATCTAACTGGAATTATTGTACCAAAACGTGGTATTATAGGCTAACTTAATTGAAATCCAACTTTGTTACAGAATAACAATGTCCACCTTGTGGAAACCTAAACTTTTGTTTGACTTGTTCCTCCAGTATGTTGCCTCTAAGTACCCTGGCGACAATGACCGCCTGCGTCGCATGTCCCTGATTGAGGAGGGCGGATGCAAGAAAGTCAACATGGCTCATCTGTGTATCGTTGGTTCCCATGCTGTCAACGGCGTGGCCCGCATCCACTCTGAGATCCTCATCGCCACTCTGTACGTGTCCTACACAAACACAAATACATTTACAGTGGGGAAAAAAAGTATTTAGTCAGCCACCAATTGTGCAAGTTCTCCCACTTAAAAAGATGAGAGAGGCCTGTAATTTTCATCATAGGTACACGTCAACTATGACAGACAAAATGAGGGAAAAAAATCCAGAAAATCACATTGTAGGATTTTTTATGAATTTATTTGCAAATTATGGTGGAAAATAAGTATTTGGTCAATAACAAAAGTTTCTCAATACTTTGTTATATACCCTTTGTTGGCAATGACACAGGTCAAACGTTTTCTGTAAGTCTTCACAAGGTTTTCACACACTGTTGCTGGTATTTTGGCCTATTCCTCCATGCAGATCTCCTCTAGAGCAGTTATGTTTTGGGGCTGTCGCTGGGCAACACAGACTTTCAACTCCCTCCAAAGATTTTCTATGGGGTTGAGATAGGGAGACTGGCTAGGCCACTCCAGGACCTTGAAATGCTTCTTACGAAGCCACTCCTTCGTTGCCCGGGCGGTGTGTTTGGGATCATTGTCATGCTGAAAGACCCAGCCACGTTTCATCTTCAATGCCCTTGCTGATGGAAGGAGGTTTTCACTCAAAATCTCACGATACATGGCCCCATTCATTCTTTCCTTTACACGGATCAGTCGTCCTGGTCCCTTTGCAGAAAAACAGCCCCATGCTTCCCCATGCTTCACAGTAGGTATGGTGTTCTTTGGATGCAACTCAGCATTCTTTGTCCTCCAAACACGACGAGTTGAGTTTTTACCAAAAAGTTCAATTTTGGTTTCATCTGACCATATGACATTCTCCCAATCCTCTTCTGGATCATCCAAATGCACTCTAGCAAACTTCAGACGGGCCTGGACATGTACTGGCTTAAGCAGGGGGACACGTCTAGCACTGCAGGATTTGAGTCCCTGGCGGCGTAGTGTGTTACTGATGTTAGGCTTTGTTACTTTGGTCCCAGCTCTCTGCAGGTCATTCACTAGGTCCCCCCATGTGGTTCTGGGATTTTTGCTCACCGTTCTTGTGATAATTTTGACCCCACGGGGTGAGATCTTGCGTGGAGCCCCAGATCGAGGGAGATTATCAGGGGTCTTGTATGTCTTCCATTTCCTAATAATTGCTCCCACAGTTGATTTCTTCAAACCAAGCTGCTTACCTATTGCAGATTCAGTCTTCCCAGCCTGGTGCAGGTCTACAATTTTGTTTCTGGTGTCCTTTGACAGCTCTTTGGTCTTGGCCATAGTGGAGTTTGGAGTGTGACTGTTTGAGGTTGTGGACAGGTGTCTTTTATACTGACAACAAGTTCAAACAGGTGCCATTAATACAGGTAACGAGTGGAGGACAGAGGAGCCTCTTAAAGAAGAAGTTACAGGTCTGTGAGAGCCAGAAATCTTGCTTGTTTGTAGGTGACCAAATACTTATTTTCCACCATAATTTGCAAATAAATTCATAAAAAATCCTACAATGTGATTTTCTGGAGAATTTTTTTTCTCAATTTGTCTGTCATAGTTGACGTGTACCTATGATGAAAATTACAGGCCTCTCTCATCTTTTTAAGTGGGAGAACTTGCACAATTGGTGGCTGACTAAATACTTTTTTTCCCTACTGTAAATCATCATATTTAAACGGCACAACACATACACATGATGATACTATTGGTGATGCGTGCACATTTTGAATGGATTTGTTTGAAGAGCTAAAGTGAACTAACTTGATATCTGTTGTGCTACTATGTGCAGGTTCAAGGACTTCTATGAGTTGGACCCACACAAGTTTCAGAACAAGACCAACGGGATCACCCCCCGTCGCTGGCTGGTTATGTGCAACCCCGGCTTGGCAGAGGTCATCGCAGAGGTGCAGGGACTGTTGCAAAAGCATTAGAATTTAGAATGGAATAAGAGTTTTGCACTGGATGTAGCCATTTGTGTATATAAATAGAAAACATCCTTATATTTATATAATAATTTATAATATGAGTGTTGTTAAATAGATGTTTCTGTTCTGATACTTGCACACTAACAATTCTCATGTCATCTTGTTGGTCAGAAAATTGGAGAGGAGTTTGTCCGTGACCTTGACCAGCTTAAGAGACTGTTGAAGTTCATTAATGATGATTCTTTCATCCGTGACATCGCCAAAATCAAGCAGGTGAGTCTCACTAAGTTGTCAACTGTAACAGCCTACTGTATGTCTGTGCTAACTCCATGCCCCCCATCATATCCCCCCTAATGTAGGAGAACAAGCTGAAGTTCGCTGTGCACCTGGAGGAGCACTACAAAGTCAAGATCAACCCGCAGTCCATGTTTGACTTCCAGGTCAAAAGAATCCACGAGTACAAGCGACAGCTGCTCAACTGTCTGCACATGATCACTTACTATAACCGTTAGTACTTCCCTGGCTCACTCACTCACTCACTCACTCACTCACTCACTCACTCACTCACTCACTCACTCACTCACTCACTCACTCACTCACTATATACCCCTCTGTCTCTTTCTCAGGTATCAAGAAGGAGCCCAACAAGCACTGGACCCCAAGAACAATCATGGTTGGAGGAAAGGTATGTTTGGTGCCCCTCAGCCTTCACAGACCCCAGAGTTTAGTTATAGGAAGTACATATAGAACAATACCTCCCATCCACAACTCACTGTTATTATGCAACACCTCTGCCCCCTGCTTTTCTCCCAGGCTGCACCAGGCTACCACACAGCCAAGATGATCATCCGTCTCATCACAGCTATCGGTGAGGTTGTCAACCACGACCCCGTTGTCGGCGACCGCCTCAAAGTCATCTTCTTGGAGAACTACAGAGTCACCCTGGCTGAGAAAGGTGACTGACTAACCCGTAACCCCATGGGTATCTGTTGTTGCAATGTCTAACTAGACGTAACATCTGTTATAACGTATACTCCTCTTGTACTGCATTCCTATGCTTCAAGTTTTCCTCACCATCCTTGTCTCCTACCAGCCATCCCCTCTGCCGACCTGTCTGAGCAGATCTCTACAGCTGGCACAGAGGCCTCTGGCACTGGCAACATGAAGTTCATGCTGAACGGCGCTCTGACCATCGGCACCATGGATGGAGCCAACGTGGAGATGGCCGAGGAGGCCGGAGAGGAGAACCTCTTCATCTTCGGCATGAGAGTGGAGGATGTGGATGCAATGGATGCCGGCAAAGGGTGAGCATGAGGACATGCACATGGGGACAGGGAGGCAGAGAGGACACTGGGTAAGGGACAGGGAAGTAAGGAGAAACTGATCCACAGGAATGGGAGTTCTGTAAGGGGAGTAGGGGGATACTGAGGCTGTTCCAGTCAGGATACAGTCAGAGGGAGATATACAGGGCAGAGATACTGTTTGGCCAGGTCTCCCTTGTATCTCAATGTTTTGGATAACATATGTTTTTCTGTTTAAGATAATAGAGAGACAAAACCAAACTGGAGAGCGCGTCGATCTGAACAGCGAGATTTAAACACTGACCTTTGTCTTACACAGATACCACGCCTCTGAGTACTACAACCGTATTCCCGAGCTGAAGCAGGCCATGGACCAGATCGCTGGTGGCTTCTTCAGCCCCAAGCAGCCTGACCTCTTCAAGGAACTTGTGGACCTGCTGATGCACCACGACAGGTAATCACATCAACACACACACTCACTCACACTCGCTCACTCACACTCACACTCACACAGGGGCCGTGCATAGGGCCTTTGGTGGTGCAGGTGCTCAAAGTACAAAAAGGGCACACTCACTCATCACACATTGTAGGCTTAGCAAGCTAGAACCACAGATGAAAGGGAGTTAAGCATCTTTGCCACTGCTGGGATGGGCTATACTAGCTGATCATCATTAATACAGGCTAGATTAATTAGCTAGTTAGCTAGGCTACGCTGTCAAAACAAGCAAACTAGTCCTTACTTATTTGAATTTGTTTTACTCTGACAAACAGTCCAACTGCAGTTGCCCCTTCCCTGTCCCTGACCGTGAGATACAACACATGCTAGCAACTCCAAAGTCACCTACTGGCGTTATTTATTTGAAATTCACCACTAGGCGGCGGTAGGTAGCTCGCACATGCGACGGGGATGAGCGCAGCAACGCACTGCGTGGTGGCAGAAGGGAGGGGAGGGGACTTTTTTCAAGATTTATGAGTTGATGAGAAGTCATCTAGTTTGATAGGCAATTTGTTGCATTTAACATTACAAGATAGAAAAGAGATCAAATATATGTACATTTTTGAAACCCCACCAATCAAAAGGGCAAGCTCTATGTGTGCAAACGCACCTGAAATGTATTTTCTTCCATTTCTTCTTATCTAATGTTTTATGTACAGGTTCAAGGTGTTTGCTGACTATGAAGCCTACATCAAATGCCAGGACAAGGTCAACCAACTGTACAAGGTCAGTGTTATGCCTAAACGTCATAGGTCCTAGGTCACCTGGTTCAAGTATCTGTCGATACCTTCTCAAAATCTAAGCAAGCCTACATATCTTATATTGAGTGATAATTCTGCTTATTTTAACCAAAAAAAAAGCTTAATACAAGTAATATATCTTATTTCAAGATATTTTTTCTAGATAATTTACCTTAATAAGATCAATTACTTGTATTTTTTCAATGTTAAAATTAGCAAAATTATCTGTCAATGACGTTAGATAATTTAGGTTGGTAAAACAAAACAAGAAAAACACTAATTTTAAGTGAATTATCACTCAATATAAGATATTAAGGCTTGCTTAGATTTCACTTTTTGCAGTGTGTCGTGACGTGACTTACATTCATGTGATGACTGTTATTTATCGAATCAACTAACTATGTTTAATTGTCACTCGATTAAATTAATCATGCAACAATTAACTCATTAGGAATTTGGGGCACCACGGAAGAAGTTGTTTAACGAGTTACCATCTCCTGAATTAACTCTAAAAGATATCTAGATATCTCTTATATCATTTAACAGTCACTTATCAAATAATTACCTCATCAGTCTCATTCTGAACGTCACATAATCCTTGAACCTGCAAGAACCCTAACCTTATTGATGAATCAGCTATACACAAATTGGCTTAATTATTTATTTACTAACTCACTAAATAATAACACAGAATACATAAACACACACACGGTATAGGTTATCAAAAAGCGAGGGGTCAATAGAAAGAGAGTGAAAGGGAGAGACAAAGAGATTCAAACTATCGTTGTTACATTTGGAAACTACGCTCACAGTAATCATAATACTTAGCACCCTAACCACCGCTCATTCGGATAAGAAATGCAATGTATATATTTACACGTAGCTGTCCTTGATCGTCATCTCTCTGTTAGACCACTTTCTCAAAAAGGGTTTGAGTGTCCTGGTTCCACTTTGGTGAGACTCGGCTTGTCTTCGAATGGAGTGTTCGTTAGAATAGATACTTCAGATGTACCAGCGGTTGTCTGAAAGGGATTGTCCTTCCCACCTCGTGTATTTAATCAAATGTTCTAGACTGCTTTACATGCCAGCTGCAGACTGGTAATGCTACGGTCTAGTGAGTTTCTTCTTCTTGTGTAGAGATTGAGAGTTTCAGAGTTTCTCACCATTTCAAACGTGTGGACTAACGTCTCACGTTTTCTGGTCTTTCTGGTCTACCCATTTTAAGCCTGTAGCTTCCTGGTCTGGTGTGAATTTCGTCATGAGGGATTTTATACTTGAGTAGAAAAGGGGGCGTTTCATCATTTTTGTGCTCATCTGGGCGTGGCCATTGACTGAGAACAAGTCAATATGGAAAACAATAATCTCATCTAGAATGCTAAAATCACATTGTTATCTTCACAAAAGTATTATTATACTTAATAATTCGTTTTATACAACAATTAGATGCAAACCTCATAACTGGGAAGTGTACACCCCCAGAGATACAGTTATGTTGTTCCACCATCTTTAATGACATCACAACATAGTAACGAATTCGACATGATTGTTCTTTAAGTCCCCACCGACCATTTCCCGCATCATTTGTGTTAGAAATATTGTTTCATTATCCACTTTTGGATGTTGGAGTTTTGGCGGGAAGAATCTCTGCGTTAACAAAGGGGTCCTTTCTCCCAATACTTCATGGCAAGGAAGAGAAAGTCTGCACGGTATTTACGACCAGTTGTTAAGTCATAAACTGGCCAAATTCTCTCCCCCCCCTCCCTCTCCTGTGGGAGAGAGAGAGGGTCCTTTGATGCATTGTCAGGACAGTCATGACAACTGTGATCTCAACATAATCTTTCCTTCCCTCCCTCTCTCTCTACAAACAGAACCCCAAGGAATGGACCAAGATGGTGATCCATAACATTGCGGGCTGTGGTAAATTCTCCAGCGACCGCACCATTGCCCAGTATGCCCGAGAGATCTGGGGCATGGAGCCCAGCCTGGAAAAGATCCCTGCCCCCGATGAGCAACTAAAATAAGCTGTGCGTCCACTCCACAGGGCTCCCTTCTCGACCACTTACTTACCCCACCCGCTCCACGCTACTGCTGTTAGGAGATAAGCACCATTAAATATGTCTGAGGGAAATGGCAAATCGTTTCTCAAAGCAATTGAATGACTGTAGTAATTGATGCCTGTAATCCCCTGTAGCTCAGTTGGTAGAGCATGGTGCTTGCAACGCCAGGGTTGTGGGTTCGTTTCCCACGGGAGGCCAGTATGAAAAATGTATGCACTCACTAACTGTAAGTCACTCTGGATAAGAGCATCTGCTAAAATTACTGAAATGTTTTTAAAAAAATGACTGTCTCACTAGTTTGTCTCATACACAGTTCTGTCTATTCACATGGCTCATACCTTATCGTGACATGCCTTAGCGAGAAATTATGCAATGCCTTCTGTTGTGGAGAAGACATAAGAGTTGTGTGGTGGGTTTTGTGTTTAGTTGTGCATTCTGGAGTGTATCTTTATGTATGTAGGCTTGGATCCATTCTGAATGAGTTTCTGTGGTCTTAAATGCAAGAGTAGGTTGAGCTATATGATTTTATCTTAGCTTGAATGCTGTCAATATCGTGCATGCATTCTCATAGCATAGACTCTAGTCAATGATGAGAACCATCATTCTCTTAGGGTACTGCCATGATTGTAACATGTTTTCCCCTCTGAGCGAACTATAGACACTGGGCCTGATCGGACAGCTCAGCGCTTCTGCTCTTTTCTGTCCATAAAACACATGGATGGGTTTGCCCCTCTACCTTATATGTATGTCAGTGGAGGCTGGTGCGGGGAGGACGGCTCATAATAATGGCCGGAACGGATTAGATGGAATGGCTTCAAACACCTGGAAACCATGTGTTTGATGTAGTTGATACCATTCCACCTATTCCACTCCAGACATTAAAACAAGCCCGTTCTCCCCAATTAAGGTGCCAGCAACCTCCTGTGATTTCTGGTGCCTAACCCTCTGAGGGGACATAGGCCTGCATTAATATGTTGATCTGAATCTACCACAGAAGGGCTGCTGAGGGGAGGATGGCTCAAAATAATGTCTGGAATGGAGTGAATGGAATGGTATCAACTACATGGAAACCATGGAAACCAGGTGTTTGATGTGTTTGATACTATTCCGTTCCAGACGTTACTATGAGCCTGTCCTCCCCAATGAAGCTGCAACCAGCCACCTGTGGATCTATTCTTTTTACTCAATTGGGTAGAAAAAAACAATGTTAAACAGCTTTATGTTTGTCAACTGGTGTATGTTTTGTCTTTGCCTGAAGAAACCAACGTACCCGTGTAGTCTATTTGAAGGCCTCTGAGGGCTAGCCTGGGAACCAGAGAAACAGAGCAGTGGAGGGGTGGGATAACACAGCTGCTCCACAGTTGGAGGAACCATGTCGGTGTTTTGATGTTGAGACCCACATCATGGCCTGTCAGTGTTCTGAAACCCAGCTCTCTCTCTGTTTGTTTCACCTTACGGCTGTCAATAATGCCAACTGTGGCCAACGAAGCCCCATCCTTCCCTGTCTTTTCAGGATGTTCTTGTCTAGCTATACAAACACAATAAAGTATACTAGACACTAATGCCTTTAGTCATTTGTTCACCACGCACAAACATTCCACTATCAGCATGTGCATTCTAGAGATGTTGTATCTTAGAATTTAAGACACATGTCCCCAAACTGAAATTATGAAACAAGTATAGTTACCACCTCCCACTGGGCACAAACTGGTTGAATCAACGTTGTTTCAACATAATTTCTCAACGTATTGTGACATTGAATCTATGTGGAAAATACATTGGATTTGAAAAAAGTCATCCAAAAAAGTCAACTGCTGTTTTGAGGAGGAAATTTCAACCACAGGAGTATGTCATCATGGTAATCAAATTCGACATAGACAAACCTTGTATAAAATATGTTGAATTTGTACCTTTAAAACAATGTCAGATCTTCAACGTCATATTCCACTATCAATAACAAATCTATAAGCTGGGCAGCACCTCCTACTGGAAAAAAACGATTTATGCATAGCTACCCTCTGATCTCGCATCCAGTTTTTTTGTTGTTGTTGTTGCTTTTACCCCCTTTTCTCCCCAATTGGTAGTTACAGTCTTGTCCCATCGCTGCCACTCCCCTACGGACTCGGGAGAGGCGAAGGTCGAGAGCCATGCGTCCTCTGAAACACGAGCCTGCCAAGCTGCACTGCTTCTTGACACACTGCTCGCTTAACCCGGAAGCCAGCCGCACCAATGTGTCGGAGGAAACACTGTCCAGCTGGTGACCGAAGTCAGCTTGCAGGCGCCCGGCCCGCCACAAGGAGTCGCTAGAGCGCAATGGGACAAGGAAATCCCGGCCGGTCCTAACCCTCCCCTAACCCGGACGACGCTGGGCCAAATGTGTGCCGCCTCATAGGTCTCCCGGTTACGGCCGGCTGTGACACAGCCTGGGATCGAACCTGGGTCTGTAGTGACGCCTCGCCTTAGACCGCTGCGCCACTCGGGAGGCCCTCGCATCCAGGGTGTTAACCAAGCCCTGCTTGGGGTCACTTAGAAATGTCCTTGTTTTCGAAAGAAAAGCAATTTTTTTGTCCATTAAAATAACATCAAATTGATCAGAAATACAGTGTAGACATTGTTAATGTTTATAAATGGCTATTGTAGCTGGAAACGGCAGATTTGTAATGGAATATCTACATAGGCGTACAGAGGCCCATTATCAGCAGCCATCAGTCCAGTGTTCCAATGGCACGTTGTGTTTGCTAATCCAAGTTTATCATTTTAAAAGGCTAATTGATCATTAGAAAACCCTTTTGCAATTATGTTAGCACAGCTGAAAATTGTTGTGCTGATTAAAGAACCAATAAAACTGGCCTTGTATCAGCAATTGTGGGTTCGATTACAGGCTCAAAATGTCCAGAAACAAATAACTTTCTTCTGAAACTCGTCAGTCTATTCTTGTTCTGAGAAATGAAGGTAATTCCATGCGAGAAATTGCCAAGAAACTGAAGATCTCGTACAATGCTGTGTACTACTCCCTTCACAGAACAGCGCAAACTGGCTCTAACCAGAATAGAAAGAGGAGTGGGAGGCCCCAGTGCACAACTGAGCAAGAGGACAAATACATTAGAGTGTCTAGTTGAGAAACAGATGCCTCACAGGTCCTCAACTGGCAGCTTCATTAAATAGTACCCGCAAAACACAAGTCTCAACGTCAACAGTGAAGAGGTGACTCCGGGATGCTGACCTTCTAAAAAGCCATATCTCAGACTGGCCAATAAAAATAAAAGATTAAGATGGGCAAAATAACACAGACACTGGACAGAGGAAGATTGGAAAAATGTGTTACGGACAGACGAATCGAAGTTTGAGGTGTTCGGATCACAAAGAAGAACATTTGTGAGACGCAGACCAAATGAAAGATGCTGGAGGAGTGCTTGATGCCATCTGTCAAGCATGGTGGAGGCAATGTGATGGTCTGGGGGTGCTTTGGTGGTGGTAAAGTGGGAGAATTGTACAGGGTAAAAGGGATCTTGAAGAAGGAAGGCTATCACTCCATTTTGCAACGCCATGCCATACCCTGTGTACAGCGCTTGATTGGAGCCAATTTCCTCCTACAACAGGACAATGATCCAAAGCACAGCTCCAAACTATGCAATAACTATTTAGGGAAGAAGCAGTCAGCTGGTATTCTGTCTATAATGGAGTGGCCAGCACAGTCACCGGATCTCAACCCTATTGAGCTGTTGTGGGAGCAGCTTGACCGTATGGTACGTAAGAAGTGCCCATCAAGCCAATCCAATTTGTGGGAGGTGCTTCAGGAAGCATGGGGTGAAATCTCTTCACATTACCTCAACAAATTGACAACTAGAATGCCAAAGGTCTGCAAGGCTGTAATTGATACAAATGGAGGATTCTTTAACGAAAGCAAAGTTTGAAGGACACAATTCATATTTCTATTAAAAATCATTATTTCTAACCTTGCCAATGACTACATTTCCTATTCATTTTGCTATATATCCTATTCAAACTCATTTTATGTATGTTTTCATGGAAAACAAGGACATTTCTAAGTGACCCCAAATTTTTGAACGGTAGTGTACCTGTATGTTCAATGATGCCATGTAGGCCTATATAGCATTTGTAAAGTCATCATCATCTATAGTTTCAGTTCAACACAGAACTCAACTAAAAATAGAAAATACAATAGGCAGAGACAAATGTTATGATATTTAGGGAGAATATGTATCGCTGAAGCGTTACAGATTGTGCAATTGAAATGTAAAGGTAATTTCCGATTGATCCGACATATGCTGTGTTTACCGTGAATGCAGTCTCCGCTAAAGCAGGAACATAGCCTTTAAATTTCAATCACGCTGTAATGCTGAACTTCAGCGATACAGATTGAATCGAGCCCTTATATGATATCAAATATGATGGATATACTGAGAAGATACATGTCTCTCCACCCTAACAATGGCAGTCGTTGTCCACAAAGCGGCACAGGGGGCTGTTTAGCTCCCGCCTATCCTTTCTTTGGATTGGTGGATACATCTCATTATTGTAGTCTTTTTTTGAATATTCGATGAGGGTTGTTGACATTAACTGCCGGTATTCAATGGAGAGAGATGCTATGCTAATAGCCTCATGACATGAATATGCATAGCCATCTCGAGGCAACTCTGATATAACGTTTTTTCTCTCAAAGTTGCCGGGATGTCACATGTCCTACTTATATCAGTACACTCGTAACAACTTAAGCATTACAAAACTTCTATTAGATTAAATAAAACTCAAGTAGCAAATAAACCATTAATTTTGTTGTTGACCAAATTTGACACTCTCTCATTGACCTCCATACAAAAACTCCAAGCTTGGTGGGCGAAACACCTGCTGGATGGAGACATATTTTCTGCTGAATTGGGCCTCTCTCTGCCTCTCTGATGATATTGAATTGTGTTTGGTTGTGAACGCAACCAAATATCAACATTTGAAGGAGATGTAACTTCTTCTTGGATATTTCCGTCTGGGCGAATGACTTAGTCTGGCTTTAATTCAATTTTGTCTACAAATTAATCATTTATATGTTGGATTCACGTCTCCATCTCAACCAAACATCAAAGTTAAAGAATATAACTCAATCAAATCAGACTTTATTTAAAGTACATTTAAAGTTTGATTTGATGTAGTCCTATTCTTTATCTTTGATTTCTGGGTGAGATGGAGACGTGAATCCAACATATCAATTATTAATTTGTAGACAAACTGGAATTACAGCCAGACTAAGTCAGTGGCACAGATGGAACTATCCAAGCATAAGAAAAATATCCTTCAAATGTTTATATTTGGTTGCGTTGACAACAAAACACAATTCAATATCACTTTTGAAATACAATAAATAACCTATTAACTTACAACAAGTTAACAAATTATACTGTATGTTGGATTCACGTTGCCAACTCAACCAAAAATAAAAGTTAAAGAACGGGATTAAGCCAGTGGCTCAGATGGAACTATCTAAGCAGTAGATACATCTCCGTTAAATGTTGATATTTGGTTGTGTTGTCAACCAAATCATACAAACTAATGTAACATTCAACCTTAAAATGAGTAACACATCCATGGCCACATGTTGAGGTTACTGTAACTATACATTTCTTCTTATGTAATCATATAAAGCATGCATGTACAAGATAGCATGCATAGGTCATTGCAGGTCTGTGGAGATCTTCACAATTGATGTAATAATCTGCGCAAAATCTTGAACAGCATTGATCAATTGCACCAGGTACTTTTAATGTAATCAACTGCAATCCAGGTCATTTGGTTCTGCTATTAGATGAAGACCAGTGATAACACATTAATATGTTGTATAAATAAACGAAATATCTGACATTGTATTCTCCTTTAAACGTTGCTGTGCTTTTAAATGGTTAAAAGCATAGTGATAACACATTGGAAATTCAACTAACTTTTGGCTGTCTTTTTGAGTGGGTGAATAAGAAACCCTGTAAACAGAGCTGCAACAAATTGCAAATGGACTCCAAATTATTTTGTGCCACTTTTGCCCTGAGAACAGCCTCAACTCGTCGGGGCATGGACTCTACAAGGTGTTGAAAGCGTTCCACAGGGATGCTGACCCATTTTGACTCCAATGCTTCCCACTGTTGTGTCAAGTTGGCAATGTCCTTTGGGGGGTGGACCATTCTTGATACACACAGGAAACTGTTGAGTGTGAAAAACCCAGCAGCGTTACAGTTCTTGACACAAACCGGTGCGCCTGACACCTACTACCATACCCCGTTCATAGGCACTTACATCTTTTGTGTTGCCCATTCACCCTCTGACTGGCACACACACACAATCCATGTCTCAATCATCTCAATGCTTAAAAATCCTTCTTTAACCTGTCTCCTCTCATTCAGCTACGCTGGTTGAAGTGGATTTAACAAGTGACATCAATAAGGGATCATAGCTTTCACCTGGATTCAACTGGTCAGTCTGTCATGGAAAGAGCAGGTGTATACTCAGTGTATTTATAAAGGCAGGCTTTTTTAAACATGCACACATA